TACATCGGCGAGGCCTTCAAATGATAGTGTTCTTAGCATGATGGCAGTAAGAAAGGGTTAAGACTTTCTCGGAAGCGCTGCTAGTAGTATTTGACTTACTGCCCAAAATACGCAGTCTCGAATTCTACCCATTCCACTTTGGACTCGCTAATTACCTTTTGGAAGAAAGCAAAAATGCTCTTCATGCAATATTCCGTTCTGAAATCCTCCAAAACTGATTTCAAGACGTATTTAAGCTGAAGGTACTATATGTTTCTAGTTTTGTCATTCTTCAGGCACATCAGGGGGCCATCTGTTGTCAGATATACATCATATCTCGGAGATGGAAAGGGCGTGACTGCACATTCCATTTGAACGGGGGAGGGCGGCTGCTGAACATTGCCGTTCTGGCGCGATCCTAATCATGTTTATCCCGCACACGTTATGTTATCCCGACAGTATGACAGTTGTCTCAGTTGGAAATATATCACATGAAGAACGCGCCCTACGTAATGTTCAAATGAAGCACGCGGTCACGCCCACTCCATCACCGCGATATGGAGTGTATGTCCTCCAAAGTATAAGTGTAAACCATCACATACTCGCAAGGGTTACGTTGTCTAGCCAGATCCACCATGCACGCAAGCGAACGATATCCACAGGACCACGTATCGGTCTACAAACGAACTGACTGGTCAAGAACTCTCATAAAAACAGTTGGTGAAAACACAAGAGCACACGGCAGCTCTCCTTCAGATCAGATTAGTGCCAAAAGATCGTCGCGAATCGAGCGATGGAATGGAAGAGGACGTCAGGTCTGTTCCGTATTTCGCAAACACTAGGCCGGGAAAGGGGGTCAGAATAGATTCAAATCAGCAAGCCAGAAATATGCTCGTGCTCTGGGTGTCAGCCGTGCGCTATGGTCTCGGTGTTGTACAGAATAGCCTCGTTCGCTGCGCACGATGAGGTGCATAAAGGGGATGGGTCTGGCATGACGCCAAACCCATTTTTCGTCAGCTATTGAAGCGAGAAAGCGGCAAGACTGCAGCTGCATCGCATCATTCGCATCAGTTGTTTTCCAGCAATTGGTGTCGCTTTCCCGCTCCAATCCGAGCTGGCGGCGCGCCAAACAGCCCCACTGCCACGCCCAATCATTCGCATCGAAAGACTGTAACTGTAGATACGCTGCTATTCCAGGAGTCGGTTGGGACATCCACATCGAGTCCAAGCTGGCTAGTACTTCCCATTTAATTGACCTGACATATTGCCGCACTTCCACGTTAGATGGATTAAGTCATGACACGAGTCCCGCACACATGATTGCAATTATGATGTCGCGTCGGCGCAAAACGGGTCTTTTGACCAACACTTCCTTGATCCCCTATTGGAGGGTTGTAGAGTGGGAAAGAGGGGGGGGGAAGAAATAAGGATATGGAGCTATATAGAGCAGGTTGCTTGACCCTGGATCGACCTTTGTAGAGGGACCACCAATCAGCGACCACCAAACAGAACCGCGTCAGGTTGTTTCAGTGAGAGGGCATAGACAAGCAGAACATGACTCCTCGTCGCCAGTGCTGAAGGAATAGTAAATTTGCTGACGCCGCGCTTTCCCTTTGTTACGGCAAATGGCTAGAACATATCGTGCTATCTCGTCGATAGCATGCAGACGAGAAGACATGACGTGGCTCATTGTCAGTTGTGGTGCACCTCCTGAGTATCATAGCGCCGTTGATTCTTTTCTCAGCCCGTGATCTGAGCTTTTCAAATTTTTACCTGTCGGTCATAGCTGCGAGAAATAGCCATAAGTATCGTCTTGTCTTGAAACAAGTGTGAAAAAAGCGAATATATTTGCTTTTTCGAATCGGTTCCGTCAGCTGAAAAAGACACTGTCGAGGCACTACTGCTTTACCCAAAATATCTGATCGCCGGCTTCGCCTTCCAATGTGCAGGTTCTCGGCTTGCAAGTGTTCAAAGTGCACATCTTACCAGGTTAGTAACGTTTGAATCTTTTTCAACCAAAGAATCATACAGTACGACCATTCTTGTTTGTGGATCATAGTCAACTACAACATAGTGCACTCTATCAGGATCGAATATAATTTGATGATGTCGGGTGGTCGACCGACATTCACGAGAGGTGTTTTTCAGATTGCGGGTTCCCACGCTGAATATCAAGCGATGCTCCCTTCTTTTATTCCCACTCTTGAACTTTGAAGTGACAGTTTGCGCGTGATTCAATGGGTGGAGCGCTTTCTAGGGTACTTTTCATGGTGAGCCCTTTTACGCACACAGTGAGGAACAGGCGCGCACAATGATTGACAGTCTCCTCCCATACGAACAGCGTAGACCAGTGCCTCTAATGAATGGAAAGGGAAGACCTCACATGCGGATGAGGTCTACATGAATAGTGGGGTGGGAATGGCCCAAACCGACGGTATGGTAAACCATGATAATGCCTTGTTAAGAGAAGAAAATTTATGGGGAAGAAAAAGGCAAACAGGTGACGCTTAGTGAAAAACTTCTGTAGAATTTCCCCGTTTCAAGCGCGCTACGTCCTTCTCTCTTCTCTTCAGCAAGCGGGCAGTCTTACAGTTTCCGAAGTATGGCTGATGGGGATGTTGACCTACCCCTCCTCTCGAGATATGGGGTTGTGACAATGTACCCTGAGTTTGAAACATCCATTCCATATAAATAACATTCATATAAACAACACATTTACCATCACAAACTGTATAGCAAGACATCCATCTATTTTACGAGGACAAGCAGCCTGGAGACGATCACAAAAGGTGTTCATGAGATCATCTAGGAGACGATCCCCAAAATGCACCTAGAACATGGTCACTCACAGCTGACGTACCTTACTGTTCGTTACGGATGATGGGGCATGGCAGTGAGGCTGGATTTGGCTCGATACCAGCTCGTTCTTCAGCAGTTGTTGAAGCGAAGCGACAATAGTAGGTGGAAGACGACTGGTACGAACGATATGGTAGAGTCTTGTTGCTTGCTCACTTCTAAAGCTAGTGGAAAGCGGGTTTGACACCGCGCCAAACCCGTCCCTCCTGACATGCCCATCATCCGCAGCGAACAAGACTGTAGTGGCAGTCCGGCGGGCGTTGTCAGAAGGCGTGGAATGTGCTACACGCGGTGTTCTCTGCCATTGTTTTTTTTCTGCCTGAACCTGGTAGATAACACCAACACGACCAAGCTCATTCCACCATTCTTGCGAGCGCTCCGCCGAATTGCGATGGTATCAACTATAGTTTGCTTCAGCTTTCATGAAGAAGTTTGCTTTTCTCCCACCTCTCCATTATCAGTTACAGTAGAGCCTTTGGCTACCTCAGAGTCAAGGTTACTCGCGATACTGAGATTACTTCCGGAATGGCTTCCCTTCCCTCTGAAAACTGGTTTTGAACGAACATTCACGTAAAGTTCTCCAGATTGATACTCATCAACTCCTTTTACCCTTCATTTATGGAGGTGCCGCGGAGCAAACCAATCTATTGGTATCTAGTCATTGTCGCGATTTCCCGTCTCGAGACAAGTAGTGCTTTTTATTCTCAACTTCTCCTACGGGTGGTATGTTACAATTCTTCTCGAGGGAAAAGACCTTCTCTCATGAACCTCCGCCTCTCTGTCGCCATCTCTACCGATATCCCTCGTCTCCCTGCTACAGGACTCTCTGCATCCCTGATCATGCACTCTCCCTCAACGACATGTGCTGAGAAGAAGGAAAGATGCCGAGCAGCTTTCGATTATACTGTGCGCTGCACTGTATGTTCAGACCGTGTACCAAAAGATACGGGATGCGGAGCAGGGAGAACCAGAGAGATGAGAGACAATGGCAGAGATAACGGTAGAGAGAAGGTCAGTGGGATCCCTGCCCCTTGGGGGGGGGAGTATAGCATACGGTTCACCAATTAGAAGAACAAGCACAAGACCAGCAAAGCTTTTTTACCCTGAACGTGTAGGGTAACCCTCACACTACCACGCCGTACCCTCATTTCAAAAATTCCTCTAGTCCTGTGCCGAAATCAAACGTGATCTGTTCCAGCGCCTGTAGATGACCAACAACTACATCGCTTCGTCATTTTTCCAAAATTGGATGAGAACCCTTAGGAACTTACGTCCTCTCCCCTTCACTTATTTCAGTAAGCACAGACATTCTTCTCTCGTCTACCTCCTGTGAGTTCTGAAATCTTTGATATCGGATAACATCAATATTCTCCACCAACATGGCAAGCGGTCAGGGTGGTGTCAGGAGGAGCGGAATGAGTCCTCCTCCGACTTTCTTGCCCTACCAGTGGTGATCGTTTAATGATCTATTTCGGAGGAAAATAATCAGTGGTGGGAAGCAGTGGCAGGGCGCTGAGCTCATTTCATTCCAAGTGGAAACTGTATTGGACAGTTTTCACACCATGCGAAAGGTTGAACATTTTTCAGTGTGAGCTGAGTGTGATTTGACCTGTTTTCTCTTCCTTAGTGGCTTGATCCCTTCGTGGACTATCTGTATAACGC